CTATGACTTACCCCTGTTTATGAGTAGAATATTGGTTATGGTTTACTTCTCCTTCAATAGTATAAGTTATCAATACATGTCCATGCTAAACCTTCCCTGTGGTAAAAATATAAATAACGATACCTAGAATACTCTCGGGTAAAATGCTACAATGGTATAATTATTTGTGCGCTTGCAGATCCCATTTCATTCTTATATCAATATGTATTCTTTCTAGTCACATAATTAATAAAGAACTACTTAGTGTTATTCTAGTAGTAATACTATGTAGGACCAACAAACATCTCTGGCATCATCACTAGTGATGACAATCTAGTAAAGTTAGGAGATATATGTTTATAATAGGTGGCTAATGTAACACCCTCGGTGTTACACTGTACAGTCTTTTGCTAAAACACTGTACGAGCATCATGTTTATGTGATAGTGTATGTAATATAGTGTGTAAATCAAATTCTGTGACCCGAAACGTTCATCGGAAACGCGAAACGAAAGTTACATTCAATGTCGCGTTATGTCACTTAGGGTTGTAAACGAATTTTTATTAAGCGAAAATGCTATAGAACGTATATACAGAATTTTAATAAAGTTTGTAGTACAAACTTCGTAGGTGACGATGAAATACTTGAGGTCGCGAAAGGAATTCACTAGCTAGCGTAGCGAATAGCTTAGAAATTGAATTCGACGCGAATCCGATCGGGACTTAGTCGAATTTCTTAAGTCGGGAAACATTTTGACGAAGCTAAGTTCAGCAATTCTTGTAGAAGAATCGGGTTAAGTAGTGGTATGGTGCAAGGGCTTGTTTTAGTAGCCTAACATGCCATCTTGAGTGTAAAATAGGTGGTTTAGCAATTGAAGCATCGAGTTGGATTTTTGGGGCGCTTTAAAAATCGGGCATGGCACGTTAGCGCCAGTTTCAGCGTCTGGGCGTGGTCACCGTGCCTCGGCCCGGTGTCGCCACTCGTCCACGCGCGCGCACACGCACACCACCGCGTGGGCTCCGCATCATCGCTGTCGCGCTCACGCACACGCTCACGCACGTGCCCATGCACGCGACTCACGCGCGCACTCACGCGCACGCCGCGCTCGGCGGGAAGCTGGGGGCCAGCGAGCCTGGCCGCTCTGCCACCGCCGCTGCCAGCGTTGCCAGCATGCGCACGTGTCTCTGCATCCCATTGTCACCTCATGTGCGCTCACATCACTTGCATCGCGTCGTCGCTGTCGCTGCTGTGCGCGCCCGCTGCGCCATCACGTGGCCTGGCCACCGTCGTCTTGCGAGTCAGGCGCTGCGGTCGCACGTCGTCATGCCGTCCTCGTACGTGCACGTGGAGCCGTCATCCGTCGTGTCATTGTCCTCTTCCATTTAGTGACCGCGCCACGCCATGCTCCTATCGCAGTCGCTTTGAATGGCGTCGCGCCGGCCAGCCGAGCCGCGCCAAGGCCAACCCGTAGAGCCTGGCCCCATCCGTGTAATTGCGCATGCCTAGAGCTTGAGTTGGAGCCTAGCTTCGCGCCAAGCCTACCACTGCTGCAGCAGTACGGTGTTGGGCTTCAATTTGAGGTTTCCCCCGCCATCGACCCCCTTAAGACCGAACGGCGTCGTCCACCGAATTGGCCTCGCACCATCCACCTCCGTCCAATTAACCGTGCACCCAACTAGCTCTGGTGGTTAGCTCGTGATTAGAGTCGACCTGATGAGCTTTCATCCTCTAGTGAGGTACTACGGAGCTTTTCTCCCACGACGGTCCGCCATGGCCATCGAGGTGGGTGCTCGGCCAGGGGTCGTTCCTTGCCCCTTTGTCTCAATTGAGTGATGCTTTTGCGTCTTCTTGACTTGGTTGCCTCTCCTGTGAAACATCTTCACCAGGAGTGCAGCGAGTCGCCGAGAACGCCATCGCCACGCTTGCTGTGAACTAGAGCAACCCTGCGCACGTGGCCAACCACCTTGCCGAGCCTTGTGACTTCGTCCAGGCCGTCTTTCATGTCTCTGGTGAGGCACCTCTGCTCCTAGGGTAGACGGTTGAAGTGGTTGAGGTCTAGGATCACCGGGACGCGTTTGCTGCCGTCGGCGAACTAGGTTTGATGCTGTTCCCGTGGCCAGCGTGTTTGGGTGTGGTAGCGATTCAAATAGGGTTTCGGTATTGTTTCCCGTAGCCTATGGGTGGATAAAGGGTATCTATAGAGGCATTGGGCTAGGTGTTTTCACGGGTGCCGGTGTTGCTGCGGCCAGACCCCGCCACGGCGCATGGCCACATCTTCGTGCTGCACCATTTTTGACGTTTGATACCTCGATCGATTGCGCTTTGCACGTAGAGTGTTATGGTGGTGATGGTTGATGTCGGGGAGGTCCATGCTCGCCGGTGTTTGGCCGGAGATGCCACGACCTTTATTAGTTTCGGCTAGGGACCTTGAAAAACAGGAAATCGAGTAAGGCCAGGGTGCTAGATGCAAATCCATGACTCAGTTAAATAGTGTTTGAGTTAGCTTTGCAAATAGGAAAGAGAACGGGGGCTCTTTAGCAAAAGAGCTAGCTCGCGCGCGGGCTCCGCCGTGGGCCACGTAGTGTGGGCCGCGTCCGCGCACCGCTCGTGTGGGCCACGCCGGTGGCTCGCGTTTGCGCCGCTGCGTGAGCATGGGCCGAGCTGCGATGGGCCGCGCCGAGCTGTTTTGCTTTTTCTTTTCTAATGAATTAGTTCATGCTTTTCTAAATTAAATTGTGAACTGATCTTTGATAATTAGTATAAAATTATGTAAGTATCCAAAAATCATGAAGTAAATTTTGTTAGTCTCCTAAATTCATGCTCTAGCTGTTAGTGTATTTAGCTCGTATAGTTCTATGGTATCCTTAAGGTTACTTTATTTATTGTGATATGCTTGTCGTTATTAGGATTATTTAGAGGAAGAATTTTCATGATGAAATGGTAGAAGTGCTAGCCCTAAAATTTTTACAGCATACTCATAACATTATTAGACACTCACTGTAATTTTTGTAGCCCTAGAGTAGGTTGTTAAATAGAGTAGCTAGTACTCCTTGTTTTATCGTATATAGAGTAAATCGATATCAAGAATAAGAATGCCTTTAGTTGCTAAGTTAATATATGAAATGTCTCGTACCTATTTAGTGGAAATGATAAGTAATGTAGCGTCTTAGTCTGTAGAGCTAGTTTAGTAGCTTGACAGATGTATTTTTATTTTAAGAGTTGTTGTTGCCGTATTACTAAGTATTGCATCATCATTTCAGGCATGTAGATAACGAGTTGATAGAGTTCGTGCCTGCGGGCGAACAGGAGTTCGAGGAGATCATTAAGGAGTACGAGGAGGAGATTCTCGTACAGGAGGGAGCCTTAGAGCCGTTCGTTGCTGACTCTGTTGACACACCGCTTGCCCAAGGTAAGCCCCGGTGCATAACCCTTATTTTGAATGATCACTGGATATATATGATGTGCATTTATGTTACAGGCATTTTATAGAAACTACATGCATAAATATATCTACCTATGAGTTCTACTAGTATAGGTTGAGTAGCTGCTATGCTCAGGATGTCGGTAGCGTGAGTAACCTGTCGTTACTCACAATAGGTGATTATTATCACTCATGATAAAATGGTGGAAAGGAAAATGGAGACCAGACAGGGATATGGTTTGGGTATTGGTGGGTGTAAGAGGTTGTGTCCTGCGGCCAACGGGGCATAGCTTGGTTACACTTTTTCCCTGTCTGTGTTGATTAAGGACCGGCCGTTGTAATGGACGCTAGGCAAGTCACAGACTTATTATCCCGAGCACATACTTGGATATGGGCGTAGGGAAGACTTGTTGCTCTCTTGTCGTGGGTTTCGGCTCTTTTCGGACTGTCTGATTGGAGACGGGGATAGTGGAGGTCTAAGCACTGCACTGAGTCCGGGACTCAGGAGCGGGAACTTGGAGTCCAAGTTTGGACGGGGACCTGGACCCCGTGATAGGAGAGTGATTGGTTGGTCCTGCTTGTGCTTGGGGTACAAGCGGGGCGTGTGTTTCGGGGTACCCAGCTGGACACATTAATTTGCAAATTGTCGAACAATCCGGTACGACTTGTCTAAACTCTAGCACCATAGCAAGAACTGAAAGATGAAAGGTAAAGAAATGAAACTGTTGCTCAACTCTTGCCGGAAAGTAGAATATGTGCTTACATAGAATGGCTAGATAATGAATTAATCATGACTGCTAATAATAACATAAGTAAGGATTCCCTATTAGTATTGCTTTCTAAAAAAAGGAAACCAACAAACCATAAAGCTTATCATATCCCTTAGAGTCGGAAAATTATTCCCACTAGTCGGATAAGTCTTGTGAGTACATTGTGTACTCAGGGTTTATTTACCCCTGTTGCAGGTACTGCTTGAGACGTAGCCATTGTGTGAAGGATTCTTCTGGTGGGCATAGACGGATCCTTGCTTATTATTGATAGATGTTTTCTTGATGTTTATTTTTATTCCGCTGTTTAATATTCCGCACTCTGACTTTGGTAATGTAATAATATATGAAATGGACTAAGTTTGTAACTCGTTCTCATTATTGAATTCTTAGGGAAAAATGCGGATATTTCGGGCTCTCCCTTGGGGTGTGCCCAACGAAACCCGCCCGATGTAGCTCGCTCTCAGGGTGTTTAGTGTCAGTGGAAGACAAACCCCTCCATAAATACGTTATTTCGGACGGTTCTACCCTAGCTAAGTACTTAAAATAAGTGACACATTAATAAACACCAATAGAGACAGAAACTTAGATGCTTCCTAGCCGCATCTATAGAAGTCGTTTGTAGTAGTGGTGAGCCTCTGTGCCAAGACAACTATGCCGCTGCAGGGTGCTTCGTGTTTCGTCCTCAGGAATTAGAGCCTTGTGCTGCCATCCTCTCAGAGTCTCAGGTGTGTGGCCTTCCTAAACATGTGTGCGGTGATGAGGTGAGGGGTGGCGGGTGGACGGACGATGGCGTGCGGACTATGGGCACCGTAATCTAGTACCTAACAATAATGACACTTGGAAACATTCGCCTTATCGGCGTGCTGCTGAAGCAAAAAATGGTGACAGAGAAGATAGTACATCACATTGTTCAGGTACTTACTTATGTAATCCTTTGTACTCTTCAGCTGGGTAGTTATAACTGGGTCTGAAGTGATCCATTTTCCCCCCAATCCATCTGTGGAATAGACTTCTAGACTGGAACGCCTTTCTCCACATACATTGTGTTTTATCACTGTCAAATATTTTCTAATTCATTTGCTGTAAGTAGGAGCTGCTGGGTTCTGATAGCAATTCATGCCCTGCTGAGGAAAATGTCGAGGCCATCTGTCAGTTTTTCAACACAATTGGTAAACAGTTGGATGAGAACCCAAAGTCTCGTCGATTTAACGATGTCTACTTCAACCGTCTAAAGGAGCTTACAACTAATACTCAATTGGCACCACGTTTGAGGTTCATGGCACGCGATGTCCTTGAACTCCGTTCAAACAACTGGGTGCCTCGACGTGAGGAGGTAAATGTCTCAGCTCCGATCTTGAAATGTATTTGCATTAGTGTTCTGTGTGCCAGCATCTACTATACACTAGTGTCTTGTAAAATAAAGGGAATAAAACATACATTGCAAGTTGAAGATACATGTTCCACATGCTGATAGTTGACCATGACACTAGTCTATTTCAGTGCGATATGCCTTTCTCCATGAACCAGCGCTTGCTATTCTTACGCACAAACTGGGTTGAATTTTCCAGTATTCACTGACTCTGATATGTTGTTATTTCTTTCTCAGATAAAAGCCAAGAAAATCAGTGAAATTCATAGAGGCAGAAATGAAACTTGGATTGCGACCTGGGTCGACCACAAACATGAGGAATGGACGAACTGGTACTGGAGGGCCACTCTCACCTGGAGCTTTCCCAATGAATGGACCTGGAACTGGTGGCATGATGCCTGGCATGCCTGGAGCGAGAAAGATGCCTGGAATGCCTGGGTTAGATGATGATAATTGGGAAGTTCCACGTTCTAAATCCAGAACTGACTCATTCCGCAGCCACACACAGCTGGTGAATAAGCCATCGTCTGTCAATTCTAAACTACTTCCTCAAGGCAGTGCAGCACTAATTAGTGGGAAGACAAGTGCACTTGTGGGCAGTGGTGGTCCAATATCCTGCCCTTCAAGTTATTCTCCTTGACTTGCACCAACTCCATCTGCTGCTCCCAAGTCAAACTCTGCTGGTCTAGAAAAGAAGACCATCTCTCTTCTTGAGGAATATTTTCACGTCTGTATTCTAGATGAAGCACATCAGTGCATTGAGGAGCTCAAGAGTCCTCATTACTACCCAGAAGTTGTTAAAGAGGCCATCAATCTTGCTCTTGACAAAGGTGCCAGTTCCATCGATCCTCTTGTTAGGCTACTGGAATACCTTCACAGCAAGAATACTTTCAAGACGGCAGACTTGGAAACTGGATGCTTGCTTTATGGGTCTCTTCTGGATGATCTTGCTGTCGACCTTCCGAAAGCTCCAGCACACTTTGGTGAAGTTATTGGGCGGCTAATCATGTCACGTTGTCTGGGTATTGGAGTTCTTGAGGATACTCTAAAGAAAATGGAGGATACCTTCTTCCGCTCAGCGGTTTTCAAAGCTGCAGTGAAGACCATTGGGGCAAATCCATCGGGTCAGGCAATCTTGAGCTCACATGTTACTGAAATGGATGCTTGCAACAATCTTTTATCCTTGAAATAAATGGCATAAAACTTATCCCAGATAGTTGTTCATCTAGTTTTGCCCTCGAGGAAATTACAATGCTGCAGTATTGACAAACAACCATTTGTGAGCTGTTTATTTTTTTAGAAATATGTGAGCTTATTGTTTGGACAGTGACGAAATGAAACAAGGAAAGCCACAAATTTTGCTCGCTTGTAACGGTAGGTCGATTTTTTACTTCTGTTGATGTTATTACTATTTTTTTTTGTGCTCCCATATTGTGTAACCTGTATTCTATTTTTGGGAAGTATTCTTTGGGATACAGCTACGTTGAGTACGTGAAATGTCAACATGGTACACTACGATTCTTTAGCCCGTCTGACGTCAGTATAGAGGAAAGTCTTCCACAAAGTAAAGCTAGAGTAAGTGGCGTAAGATAAGATAGATGTTCACTTTCATCGACCAATGTACCTGAAATTCCTATACATAAAGTCGAGAGCTAGAGAGAGTAAATGAGACGTTCAAAGGGTGAAGCTAACGCTTCCCTGGCCACTAGGGAGTCATCAAAATCTGAGTCCATACACTTACTAGCTAATACTGTATCGTCAAAGATCTGATTCTATTTAATAATACCTTCTGTCTCTCCCCTAAGGGATCCAATCAGAAGGAATTCCCTCACTTCGCCCATGATAGTCGGTCGAGTTCCCTTTTCCATTTTAGTTGAGTTTCGCCTCTCCTCCTTTCCTTGTCTCTACTCTGATTGATTCGCTTCTTCGTGCAAGCACTTGGTTCGCCCCTTACTATAACCATCCCACTCAATCTTTTACACCGATGTTTCGTACTCTCTCAACCAGGTCATCATAAGAAAATACTGCCAAATCTTTCCGAAATGAGAGAAGGAGGGAAGGCGCGCTACAACTGTCTGCTGAAAACGCAAGATTAACGCTAAGAAGCAACCCTAGTTTAAGTACTAGCGTCCCACTCCAACGTTCTTGTACTTAAAAAGACTCTCCCCCGCTTGCTGCTCACCTCAACCAGACGTGGCTTATGTAGTGGTCGGCATTCCTACGTGCTCCGACTGATCCCCACTAGAGATTATATGAGGGGTCTTTGAAACTGTCGTGACGCTTTGGTGACGAAGGTCACCGGGGTGACTATGGAAGGATTCCGTGGTAGTCTCTGACTCCCTCCAACTCAATCAATATCAAGAACATGTCGTTAGCATGGGGTTTGGTCCAGCCTGAGTTGCCATAACTTCTGCTGTGATTTAGTTTGGAATTGAATATAGTTGGAAGTTTTGTTTGGCTGTAGGCAGAAGTCTTTGGTTCCGCTTTGTTAACAAACGTGCCTCTCTTTGCTTTCTCACTTTCCCAGAACTGCTACTTTCCTGCTTTTAGTACATTGCTTTTCGTATCATCTATGAGAATTCTCGTTTCCTCCTCAATATAGTCGTTTCAGTAGTCCAAAGCAAGCTATCGACATTGAGACTGTAACGCTTAACAAAAGCGGGCATTGTGCGTTGTTTGCATTCGAATTGAAATCGGAGCTACTACTAATACACTCAAGCTAGGGAATAGAAGAAGCGACTTACTAATAGAATAAGCGGACGGAGTTTAGGCGATAGTTCTAGAAGAGGGTTAGCTGATGAATTGAGTAGAGCTGGCTTGTCTTTTGGATTTCTTTGATCTCGTGCATTTGCAACGCGGTGCTCGTAATTTCCCCAAGAGGTTGATATGGCTTGGAGGTCTAACGGACTTTCGTCCTTCGACTCCTATAGGCGGCTTCGCTATCGCTCCTTAATAGATAAGGATTATGCCATAAAATACATAATCTGGGGTCTGGTGTAGGCTGCAGAAGTGAGATCACGTCGGTTGGGTCCGTATGCGGATTGATTGATCTTTGTCTCGATAGAGTGAGCGATTTGGTACGTGGTAACGCTGTAAAGTCGATATCTCACCTATGAATAGAGGGCTGGCTAGCATCTCACCTCAAAAAAGAGAAAGTTGTCTCACCATATCATATGCTCATTTTCGAAATCCAGTGTTATGCTCTCTTCTTTGCTTACACCTGTTACACACCTCTTGTGCAGTGACAACACTACCCGGGAGTTTCTTTTAGCTGTCTAGGACTTACTCTCCTATCCCCCATTGGTACTAGTCTGTTGGCCAACACTTTAGTAATGATCTTGGACAATAAGGAAGGCTGATTGGTCTATACTTTGATTCTGTTAATGGAGTATTGTAGAAGAGTTCTCCCAACCCAAGTATCTTCGGTTTCAGTTCTCTCTCTCTCTTTGACATGCTACTCTGCTGCTGTTTTGGCCCTTCAAGGGAGTTTCTCTTCGGGCAAGGGTTGTTGAATTTCTGAATTAAGTAAGTAGAGCAGTTAGGTTATGAGCCTTGCGAGCTGTATGGGAGAGAACATAGCCTTTTGGCTTGGAATAATAAGTACAAAAAAGGAAAAATCTCAATATGACAATCTGAATTACTTTATGCAATAACATCAAGTTGTTCTATCCTTCGACTTATCGTTCATCTCGCTTTGTTCGCTGTACTTCTCTATCGAAAGATAAGGGTTCATCGAAGAAAGGGAAGGGAACTATCCGCTCTTGTCCTTCAATGAAAGCAAGCAGACCCGGATCCGATGAAATCTTCACTTGGTAGTATAGAGTAGAGTGCTCCATTGATAGTGGTGGATTGGACTTCTTGAAATATATATATATATATATATATGTGTGTGTGTGTGTGTGTGTGTGTGTGTGTGTGTGTGTGTGTGTGTGTGTGTGTGTGTGTGTGTGTGTGAAAGAAAGAGATGGTTTCTTACTCGGTTAAAGGAATATCACTATCCCTCGTCCTAGGGTTTTCCTGCTTGATTCTCTTTCCTGTGAGAGATGCCCACTTTATTAACTCCTAACTCTCAAAAGGGCGATGATGAATTTTCAATCATTTCGCAAGATTAAACATCTGCGAAAGTCATCTCGAAGCTCTAACTCTCGAGAGAAAGTCTTGCCTTTGGCGGGAGGACTCCTTCTGACTGCAGCTTGAAGGGGAAAAGCCACTGATACACTGGTGGAAGTCTTTTTCCCATGGCAGTATAGCATGATTGCAATGACGCTAGACCGCTCATCATTCTTTAGAGTCTCCTTAGATTTTTTGACATCTAGATCATTGTCAATGGCATTGGGCCGTTCATAAACTTCTTCGGATACCCAATCTCTATCAGTTCTTCTATTGGCTTTGGGCCAATCGTCGTCATATGGCGTTTCAGGATGACATCCGCTAATGAGATCCGGCGTTTCAGTAAGGGAGGCACAGGATCATTGAAGGGCTCCTCTCCTCTTTACTGCCCCCGCTATCCTATCAACAGGTCAGTCAATAAATATATGTAGTGGAGAAAGAAGAGTAGTCCCCCCAGGTCATTAATTAGTAATAGAATAATCCCAGTAGTAGTCCTCTTGTCTAGCGAAGTCAGCCCTTAATGGGCAGACCAAAGATTGGACATCGTTGTCTAAGCGTGCTTGCTTTGCACACCGGCACAGCTGAATGAGAATCCGCTAGCTCAGATTGAGTGGCTCACTTCCTTGAGAAGGGCTTTCTATAACTAAGAAATGAGAATTGTTGACCCATATGATCTCAGGCTCATAAAGAGGATGAAACTGATAATTTAATTCACACTTTGAGATTGAGCTCATCAGTGATTTTTTCCAAGGTGTCTAGAGAAACCTGCTTTGAACATGACATTCGTACCCAAGGAAAGTTTTGGCAGGAGAAGCTGGCTCCTCGAATGGTAGCCGCTCACTTCCTTCAATTAAATCAACTAATTTCTAGTTTCCTTTGCCGTCAAACAATGCTAGGGTTTGCCCTAAACTCGGTTAACAAGGGTTTTCCCTGAAGTAGGAATACTAGGGTTGTCCTTCAATCGGATAAGGAGCAGGTTATAAACAAGAAGGGAAGTAGTGCCTCGCATGTCCCTTTTGAAATCATTGATGTCCGGCGAGCGCCCCACTTCCTTTTTTTCTAAAGAACATAGTAGGGTCATAAACAACCAGCTTGCTTCGTTGAATTGCTTTCCAAACAGTTCGGGGTGCGTGCCTATACTCTAGTGCTTACCTAATAATGTCCTACTTTCTTGAATTCGGGAAGATACTGACATGGAACTGAACTTCACTTTCTATACGATATGATTTGATTTTATTTGAAATACTAGCTCTAGTTTGATCAACAGGTCTAGGTACTCTCGCTTGATTCATTCCACTAGGTTCTACGAACTTAGGAACTCCGAACTCATGCTTTATTGAATTCCGTAGAACAAACACAAACTACTTTAAGTGTGGGGCTGCCTCGAGAATAGCCAACTTCTCATTCAAAGTATGCAGTTTCTATTTTATCTAGCCCAAAAAGAGCTTTTTCAAAGCATACTCTTTTCTTATGAGCTCCATGGGTCTGATATCCACAAGCGAACCATTTTGATTACTTCTTATCAACTAGACCCTTCGGGGACGCCAGTGCCTTTTTCAAAATCCGATTTAGCGGTTTCAAGTTCGGAAGGTGGATCTGACGAAACAACTTTTAGTGCCTTTCGGTTCTTTTGGTTCAAAACTAGCATTTTTGCCAACCGATAAAGAATTTGATGCCCCTAGATTTACGGATGGACCTACTTATCATTCCAAGTAAGGGGGAAGCAAAAGTTCAGAGATGGGATGCTGATCTGAAACCAGCTATCTTTCCACTTCTATCGCTTCCTAATAGGGCTGGGTTGTGGGATGAATAATCGTATCCCCCTGAGAAAGCTCTTTAACAGAGCTGTACGAAGGAAGTCTGCACCTTCCCACTTATCCAGACAAGGCAACAACTGCTTTTCGTGCTGACCCAGAGGAGCATGCACGGGAGTCAACCGGACTAGAACCGCTTTCTTTCCGGCCGAAGTACCGCTTTAAGAATACAGTAGTGGAAGCCCTATGAAGACTTCTTCTCGATCAAAACTCATAGAGAAATCAGAAGAATTGAAGGAAGGGACACCCCTTATAATTGAATTCACTT